ACCCTAATTCCTGCTTTGTTATCCAGAATCCTGCGTAGGGTCTCAGATGTCCCTTCTTTATATAGTATTACAGTAGATAACTTATATTCTCTCTTATTTATTTTATTATTACTAGTTTCACAATTATTTTTAATTTGCTTTTGGTATTTTTCCATTTTCCTAATGAATTTTATAGGATAGTTAGTTGTTTAACACCAACGCCTCTTCTATCTGCTTCATTTCAAAATTTAGTTATTTTCTTGTGGTGCTTAGTGCTACTACTCGGTTTGTTGGACACTTAACTAAGCCTGCCTGAACAGTTAACGGGTGTGACAAATTAAAGTCTTAATATCTATCAGCAGAATACGTTGGTTTTTTATAAACGCCAGTGTGCAGTTTACCTTCTTCTATTCGTTTTATTTTACAATCTAACATCACAACTAATTCTCTTTGTTCATTTTCTGACTAAAATGTGAATTTTATTCCGTCTACTAGTGAGTTTATATGTGTCAAGAGGCTAGAGATATGTTCTGTTTTTAACCCTGTGAAAGTGTCATCCACAATTCTGCACCATATTGTTGGAGTAGGATTGAGTGAAAGTATTAAGAGCAATATTAAGCGAAAACTCGCACTAGTGCGTGTATAATCAATTCTACTGTCTACTTATACCTCATTATGTTACCACCAAAATTCTCTTCATTGTGGTTTCATTATTAATATTAATATTATTACCATTTTAAATTTTCTCAATGTACATATTTATTTAAACGGAGGTAAATTGTCGCAATTGTTGTATTTCCGATAAGTCGCAAACTACGATCGGTTCTCCATCCGATACCAGTCCGTGGTCAAACTTCAAAATTTTATTCTCAGCTGAGTATATTTACTTTATTCAGAATTCAAGATCAGTGTGATAACAAAATATACAATTTTTTATGATAAATGGATGATACTATCATCATATGTGACGACAATACCGACATCGAATTGACAACTAAAGAGTTCAACAGCTGCCATCTGGTCATCAAGTTCACGTCGGAATCAGAGTTGAACTCGGAATTCCATTTTTTGGATGTTTTTCTGAAAAAAAAGAGATCTGTTGATTCTGTTCGAAAATCGATCTACAGGAAACCAACATGGAATGGTCAGTACACAAATTTCCATAGCTGGGTCCATTTGTGAAGAAAGAGAAATCTGATCCATTCCTTATCCTCAAGAATAAGGAGGATATGTTCAAGTGATACAATCTATGGGGAACTGGGGTGACTCAGACAGGTCTTCGCAGAGAATGGATATCCTTCTAGATTCATCGATAAAACTTAAGGTTAAGGGAAAGGCCTGAAAGAATTCAGACGATACCGAAGAAACTGCTATTTATGAGTGTTGAATTTAAAGGTGATACTGCAGCTGAGATCCTGAAGAGTCGCTTGTGCAGATCACTGAGAAAAGCCTTCTTTATGGCTGAGCTAGGTATTATTTTTCTAGAGCCGACAAATGATCAACGGATGTGTGAAGGATAAACTGCCGCTTTGTGCCATCTCAATGTTTGTTTATGAATTCACCTGCTCATGTGGAACAAGTTATACTGGCCGAACAAAGCGCACGCTTTCCAAACGCATCTCTGAACATTATACGGCATGGTTAGCAAAGGGACAATTCATGACAATCACTAGCTGAATTCTCAATCATAAGGTGACCTCAGGCCACGTAGCTCGACTACAGTCGTCTTTCAAGAATGTCTACAAGGTGATGCCAAATGGTACAAAGGGCGTCAGGTTTCGGCTTTCGTGTATAGCGGAGGCGCTGGCAATCCGTCAATACAACCCTGAACTCTGTATACACACAAAAAGTTTGTCCAGTCTCTTATTCTATCTTGGTTCTAACCTCTTCACTAATCACCCTTTTTCTCGTTTAGAAAACTCTACTCTCTCATCTAAACATGACGCACCCTACCTTGTTTCTTTTCTTTCCTTTTTTCTATTGGCTATTAGATAAAACATTTTCTTTAGTTACGTAATCCACTTTTTTGTTATACTCTTTCTAGCTAAACCTTGTTTCAGTGCACACACATATGTACGCAACTTTGTTTTTTGTTCTAAAGCCTAATTGTCTAATTATTCTATAAATAGTCAGTGTTTGTAACTCCTCTTAATTAGTTAAATCATTCCAGATTAATGTTACTTGTACTTCCTACCAATTACTCCTTGTGATCGTGGAAAAGTATGTTCAAATCTTTCATGTAATTCACGTATAGTTTTTATCGTTCAGGTTGTAACCAGTTGAGAAGAATCCTCGAAATAATAATAATAATAAAAGATGAGCTCATATTATCTTCTGGTATAATTGTGTTGTTCTTGCTTTATTCAAAGTTTATTAATGGGAAGAATTGAATAAAGTTTTTGAAGTGATATAACTAAGATGAAGGGATGAACTTGTTTAAATTGTTTAGAGGACTGTTTTGCAAATCCATTTGAATATGCTGTATTACACATCAGGTTGTTTATTTATTAGTGAAGTAGTGTGCAGCTGGATATGTGGTGATTCTTAACAAAAGTGATTACTTTAGGTTTCAGTTGCCTAGCATGTATATATATATGTAAATTATTGTTATCCCCTTAGGTTCTTGGGGGAATATAGGCCTTCAAAAGCAAATTATCATTGAACTTTATCCTCTGAAGCCATCCACACACCGCCCTTCTATGTGTCACTCCTGGAGAGCCAAGATCAGCTCATCGTTTTCCACTTGTCTTCCGCTCAAGAGTCAGTCTCATGCGTCCTTTAACTCAACGACCTACATCGACATTCTGTTCTGCTTTGAATATTCGTTTAAATAACAGGTTGTCTGAGCTTCGTTTCAACCAAAAGCAGTCTGAACGGATGGAGATGTCACAGCCAGCCAGGAGGCCAGAATCGGAAAGACAAGCAAGATATACATACCTTCACCAACCTGAAACCAGTTTGCAAAACTTCTGCTTCACCCCGCCTCAGCTAGCATAAACAAAGAGATTCGGATTTTCAGCGCAAATGTCAGTGTAGCCAATCAGTCAGTCAGTTAGTGATTGCTTCTATATGAGTGGCAAATACGCGTGTCACGGAAAGCATTTCCAACAACCAGTTGCAGCTGTCTCATCCTAGTTTGGGAATCATAGGCAGTAGGCACTCACTGCACATGGGTTCGAACCCAGTAACTTTTGGTTATAAGGCAAGCTCCTATACCATTCAGCCACTCACTGGAATACTATTCAATTGCTCATGAATTCTAACTTCTACCAATTGGTGATTAAGCGCGACCCCAACCTTTTGTTCTTGGTGGGACATCCATCCTCATGAGCCATTGAATCGGGTCCCAATGGTTGAATGGTATAAGAGCCTGCCTAGTAAAATCAGAAGGTCCTGGGTTCCAACCCTTGTGCAGTGAGTGTGTACTGCCAATGATTCCCAAACTAGGATGAGACAGCTGTCCAGTACTCCCCGGTTTTCAATGGATCTCTTGCTGATATGAATCCGTGATCAACTCGTAAAAACCAAAACTAACCCTTAAAAACCAAACTATAGGAAACCAGTTGTAGACTTTCATCAACAACTACCATCTTCGGTAGCTGTCTCCATACTGAAAGTCAATAGCCGGCCAGCCAGTAGAGTAGCCAGAAAGAAACTAGCAGCAGGAAACACTGGCTGGCGACAAACCAATCAAGAGCTGATCGCTCAACAGATTGATAGATTGAGGATACGTTGAGGAAGGATGTCGACGAATGACATCGTGCTTAATGGAGGCCATCACTCGAGTGGAATCTGAATAGAAAGCAAAGAGTGAGTAGTCGGTGTAAGAGTGACATGAAGGAGATCATGTGTGGGTGATGTAGGGGGGATGGGGAATCGTGGGGCTATGCAGCTGAAGAAGAAAGGGGAAAATTTAAGAAAGTGGATATGCGCTGTTGAGTTCGTATGCTCCACTCGTAACCCAAGGGATTGATAATAAAATTAAAATAAAAAATTTAATCTTCATTATAGAATGAAGAAAGCCGTCAAAAATGTCCACAGTAGCCGACTGAAAATGTTTTTAGTGATTGGTGCATTGTTTCTAAGTCGTAAAGAGCCGTTAACTCGACGTATATATGCTGAACCTTTTCCTCTTTTTCCTTATGCTAAGTACACCAGATTTACACATTTTATTTAAGTTCATTGAAGTTTTGAAGGCCCGCCTTGCCTTTCCGATCCTTGATTTGACATAATAATAATAATAATTTTTCCTTCACGTTCCCAGTAGAACATAGGGCTCCAAACTAGTGGCTTGAAGTTTCTGTAGCAGTGTTTAATTTTTACAGGATGCGGTTGCTAGCCTCATGCCCAACCTTTCCTCTTTACCAGGATTATTTCTGGCTCAGTGAATTAAAGGAGTGCGCCGGCCAGGGATCGAACCCCGGACCATATGCATGGTCGGCGAACGTCCTAACCGCTATACCACCGACGCACTTGATTTGACATACACCTTCCAAAGAGCCTGCTCAGATAACTAAACAGTGTGAAATCCTTAGAATTTCTCGTTCTGCCAGAGATTAGTACTTGTTTTTGTTGTTGTCAGCTAGACATTTTGATCGCCTATGTCTTCTTTTCAGTTCAAATGAATGGGTTGTCTTATTTGGCCCTGTTGCCATTATTTTTAACTTTACATCTGGTAGTCCTCGAGTTTGTGGTATAATCTTCCAGTATTTTCTTGTTTTGCTAAACGGACTTCTGTCTCCCTACCAGCTCCCAATTCCTGTGTGCCACAAGTTTACAGTTAGCAGGCTTCAATTAGCTTTGAATTGCGAGTCACTTGACATTTTGCATTACTGCATAACTGTTGTATATTGGTTTATCAAGATTTCAGAACTCCACTGCATAGCGTCAAAACAGTTTCCAGATTACTCTGGTGTCAACGCGAACAAACGCTGCTTTTGCAAAGTGAACATAAGTATATAAATGTGTCAAAATATCACATTTAACAAAATCAATATACTTAATGAGACAGGAAGACTTACAAATATTTCTCAGTACTGCAGAAATAATTTCTCCAAAATACTAATTCCCCAGTTTCTGTAACAGCAAAAAACAGGAAAAGAAAGCAGAAGAACCAATCACCTTCTACTTATCGACAGAATGAAGTGAGCGAAAAAAAAACACAATAACTCTTAATGTTACTAAAAATGTTTCCGAATTAATAGAAAAAAAAATCTAATTCTTGTTTTTTTTTTTGAGAAAATCCATAATGTACTCACAGAATTCGATGTAACTTATTCTATATAGGGACTGTCATTTCGCCCTGGTATTCGCTTTCCTCATTTGAACGATTACAGTGACATACTAAGTAGAATTTGAGTGATGTAGTCGAGGATTACCACGTCATAGAATACAATTTTAAGTGAATAAAAATGCCTATTAAATTACTTTTTGAAAAGACTGATTATTGAACAAAGATAATTCATATACATTGATAACCTGCTCTTCATCATTGCCAGGTTCTACAGTTATATATATATACATATCCATCCATAGTGGTTAGTGAATGAATTAGTGTTATTGACAAAATTAGCTTAAAATTAAAGACTCTGGCTTCGAATCCTGGTGAGTAGGTATTTCCGATGAGTCGTAACTGATATCAGTCCGTGGTCAAACATCAAAATTTTATTCTCAACTGACTGTATCTACTCTAGCAACATTGAATAAAGAATAATATCAAGAGTTTATGGATGACACCATTTTTTGTGATAATGATTCGGATAGGAACACAATAATAACTTTTAAATTCATATGCTAAAAAGAATCCCAAAATAGGATGAATTGCCTTCCCGGATGTCCGTACAAAAAAAACCAGATGTTATCATAAAGAGGATATCAAAGCAAGGATCGGAAAAGCAAGACAAGCTTTCATTACTCTCACCTTCCTAGATTACACATCTGTTTTCGACTCAATACCTAGGGATATTTTGTTAAACAGGCTTGGTGAAACTCAAACTGACTGTAGGGTTGTCAAATGGCTGCATTCTTATTTCTCACGAAGAAAGCAGTACCCTGTATGTCGAGAAAAGTAGTCCACTTCTTTGCTTACTGATGTTAGTGTCCGTCAAGGCACTGTCGTTTCTCCTTTTTCTATTTTCTTTCTTCCTGTTTGACTTGCCTTACTCTGATGGAATGAACTTTGTTAAGTATGGCGACGATCTAGTTATTTCAGTGTCTGTTAACTCCCAGCTTGACTGTACTAAGATGAACAGCTTTCTGTCAGGAATTAGCAAATGGTCTTCTTTTAATGGCCTTAAACTAAATCCTTCCAAATATCAGACTGTTCATTTCAGTCTCCGATATGAGTAAACGAAAGTTAAATGACGAAGCTGTTGGTTCGTATGACCCTTTCAAAATTGATGATAGTGATATAGAAATCAAGTTTGAAGTTAAGTATCTTGAATTAATTCTTTCTTCTGGCCTGTCCTGGTCTTCCCATGTCTTAGCGATTTCTAAAATAGTATTTTGTTTGAATTTTGAAATTAAGAAGTTGAGGCACTCAGACATAATCCAACCCCTCCTCTTACAGTTTGTCAGCTCGCGTATTTTACCTTTTCTTCTTTACTGTTCACCCTGCTTATTCCTTCTTCGATTGCTTAAAAAAGACTATATAATACTTCGCAGAACTCTTAGGACTGTCAGTCAGTAGGGCGAGTGGCATTTTATTGTGCCATATAGTTGACACTGTCACTGATAGGCACTTGATGTCATCCAACAAATTTGCTACAGGAATTTTGTTAGACTGTGAGCACCCACTTTACCCGCAGCTCCAACCTTGTGTCTCCTCCTCAGGTTAAACAAGAACTCATTTCAGAAGACCTCATGCACGTATGCCTAAGTATAAAAATTCCACTGTATCATATTTGGCTGCACGTACTTTATGTGATGAAAATAATGTCAGGCATGAACTAACTAACTAACCTTCTTTGCACCACTAAATAAACCATTTCTTCCACCCTTACAGTACCAAACTTTATTGTTATTGTATTTCTTATATTTATAATCCTCTCAATTTTTGTTTTTATTTATTTATTTTCCATAAGTATGAACATCGTTTAGGCTGTGTTACCACTGTTAATCCTGTATTTCCCCTCACTATACTACATCAACAGAACATTAGATTCAGTACCTCTATAGTTACATGCTAAAATTTTCAAACTAAATCGACAATACTGTTTGAAACAAACTCACTGTTATTATTATTATTAAAATATTTAATGATCTCAATTCGTGCTTCCAAATATTTTTGACTTTATATCGTAAAAGTGGACAAATTCCTCTGGTTACTTTTGTTTTAATTTTTAATTTTACTTATGTTGTTAGTAAATCAGATGCAATATTGTGACTCGTCAGCTGACGAGTCCCAAATAGGACGAAATGCGCATTCTGGATTCCACTGCTAGCCACCATCCACCAATTGTACACCAATTATTCGATATTAATTTAATTTTACATCTGTACATATTACCACACCCACTGTAGTGACTAGACGATATTTAAAGAGTATTAATCTTGTTAATAACACTTATTATTTCTATTATTATGGAAATATATAACTGCAGAACCTGATGAGGTTATTAAAACATGTATTTTAAATGTCTGGATCTGCATTTTATGATCTAACTATCAAGCATACATAATTACTCATCTAAGCGGCTGGGTATTTTGAAAATACCGGCATCACAGCTTCTACACGTGAGTTTGTAAACTCTCCATGGTTTTGATGTCACAGCTCTTCAGGTTATCCATATTCTAACGAGTTTTATCATCTCACAATGTCTGTTGGTAATTCGAATAATTTATGGAGGATCTGGACTTCGCCGATGATATTTATCTCATTTCCCACAAACTGGATAATATGCAAGTGAAAAGCAACAAGTTGGCAGAGGAAGCATGCAGAGAAGATGGGACTTCAGGTGTGCATAGAGAAAACAGAGGTGATGAAGATTCCTACTTGCCAATAGCAACAACCACAACAACAACGGACAACATTCGGCATAAATGGGCGAAATCTGAAAAAAGGCAACTTCCTTTACCTAACCGCCTACCTACCTATGTTATGGATGGAACTGACTAGGATGTCGAAGCAGGGATACGGAAAGTAAAGCAAGCTTTCATTTCTCCCGAGTCTGTGTGGAGAAGATGAACAGTACTCAGCATGAAAATGAAAATAAGATCCGGATATTCAACTCCAATGTGAAGCCAGTGCTACTCACTATACGGATCAGAGACTTGGCGCTTCATAAAGACCACCTCAAACAAACTACAGACCCTCATTAACAGTTGTCTTCGCTCAGTACTCAAGGTCAAATGGCTGGCCAGAAAAGATCAGCGATGGAGAGGGATCTCTGGCAATGAGTGAATCAACCAGCAACCGATTGTGCAACAAATAAGCAGGAAGAAATGAAGATGGATTGGCTGGCCATCCTCTGAGGAAAGCTTAAAGTGACATCACTAGACAAACCATCGCTCGAGTGGGACCTGAAAAGGAAGCGCGGAGTCGGTCGTCTAAGAGCGACTTGGAGGAGGTCATGTGAAGAGGAGATGAAAGCATGTGGGTAGACTTGGAGTCAGGTAAGAACTTGAGCAGAGAACCAAACGCAATGGAGAAGTTAGGCTGAAGCCCTATGATTCTCTAGGAATTAAAGGAAATAATAGCAATAATAATATCACAAAGAGAAATTTGCATAGGAACAGCATGTGGACATGAAAATATACACATTTTCATAGCTTCGTTCCTCTCTAGTACAAAAAATATATTTAGGACCCTTACTAAGCCACAAAGTTAGAGCTATATGCTCAGAAGAGGTAATTGACGATGAACTTAGGGTTGAATATATATGATAACGTGACTAAAAATAGATGTGGAGTCCTCAAAAATAAACTTATCCAATTTTTACTACTGTGTAAGAAATGAACATATTGTACATTACTTTGTTTTAATCAGAATCTCTGTACTTTGAACTTAACCTCGTGGTTTGAATGGAAATATAGTTCTGTCTACAACTCTCCGTCTTCTCCACCATCTCAACTGCCATCGGCCAATTCTAATTACCTACCTTCTATTTCAAAATATCTCAGGGACGCCGTATTTTCTTCCTACGTTACCTTGGTCGACCTCTGGAAATATTAATATTGGAGAATTAAGACTGGAGCAGTCTTCTCACAATACTTCTGGAGTCTACTAGGTTAAATGTGGATCTGGACCTCGTAATAACCCAAGTAACAAATTTTAATATATTCTTCCAGTAACTTTACGGATTTTGTATTTTTTAATTTCTATTGCAATTTGGGATATTAAGCTAGTAAAGTCTAAGGTCGGCCACATGGATATCCAGTTCAAATTCATTACGAGACATATGACTAAGAAAGTTGGAAAGGATTATTTACTATCCGTAAATGAGAAGTCTTCATATATACGACTGTAATTCAAGGGTGACATACTTGGCGAAATAATTACAAGGAAGTTAAGGAAATCAGTTCAAAGAACTCTCAGTGCTGCCAAACTGCAAGTCTCATTTTTTCTACACGACTGACTGGTGATGATTCCTGAATTGAAGGATGAAGTGCTTAGACTAGACTAGCCACTTGTAATTGCACCTACCAAGTTAAATGCCATTATGGTGGAACAAGTAATATTGGCCTTTGCTCTAAAAACTTGATTTTTCGTGCTCACTCGGGAACACTTACCCGAGGTGTAGTGAGAAGCATCAACAGCTCAACACTGAGCCACCTGGTCCAACAACGGCAAGACAGTAAGCACTGAAGAGTGCTTCTCCATCATCATCTATCGGAGAGCAAACAAACCGCCAACAACATCCAGGTATTGCATACTCTAAACAGAAGGCGCTATCACGATTCACTTAAAACATCCGGTGCTTTGTGTGAGTGCGTAGATGAAACAAGTTCAACCAGCCACTACTACTGCCCTTGCTGTCACTGGAGACTACATATTCATGAATTCTGTATTATTATTATTTTGTCTAATAATAATAATAATTTGCCTTATTCCAAAACAGTACTTGTGATACAGAATG